CGGAGCCTGTCTTTGCATACCAAATGAAGAAGTCCGTCGAATGGACAATTCATTGATTAGTTATATGAATGCCAAAAACATTACCCATGCGATTTTACCACCGGCCTTGTTCCAAAACACACAAAATCTAATCGATTTAATTGGGTTGGAGGTTTTGATTTTTGGTGGCGAAACTCCGTCGTTATCGTTGCTAAAAACTGCCGTTATGCACAGTGCAGTTTTCAACGGCTATGGTCCAACTGAGGCAACCATAGGTGTGACCACTTGGTCGTGTCCAATTGATTTTGAAAGCCATACAATACCAATCGGTCGACCAATATCTAACAACCGTATTTACCTCTTAGATGCACAAAGTGAACCAGTGCCATTGGGAGCAGAAGGAGAGTTGTATATTAGTGGTGTTGGTGTGACCCGTGGCTACATAAACCGACCTAAGCTTACTGCCGAACGCTTTTTGTCCGATCCATTTAGTGAAAATCCAACAACACGCATGTATCGCACTGGTGATCTGGCACGTTATCTACCTGATGGAAATTTGGTATATCTGGGACGCATTGACCAACAGGTTAAAATCCGTGGTTTTCGAATTGAACCCGGCGAAATTGAGGCCCGTTTAATGGAACATCCTTCAGTGCGCGAAGCTGTTGTACAGCCATGGCAGAACGGGATTGATAGTGATACCCGTCTGGTGGCCTATATAGTGGCTGAACCAGATGCATCACTCGCCAATAATCTACGTACATATTTGGCATCTATATTGCCTGATTATATGATGCCAGCAGCATATGTGTGTCTATCATCATTACCACTCACACCAAATGGCAAGCTAGACCGACGTGCACTTCCAGCACCGGACGATGAAGCATTTGCTCGTCAACTATATGAAGAACCGCGAGGCGAAGTGGAAAAAAAATTGGCCACAATCTGGAGTGAATTGTTGGGTATTGAGCGAATCAGTCGAAATGACAATTTCTTTGCGTTGGGCGGGCATTCTTTGCTGATTGTACAAATGTTAGCACAATTACAGAAAGCCGGATTAGATACCAGCGTGAAGAAAATATTTGATGCTCCCAACTTAGTCACACTAGCTGAGACTCTCGGCAAACATCAGTCGTTTAGTATCCCACCCAATCTGATTAATGGAGACAGCACGACGATTACTCCAGATATGATACCACTTATTAGCTTATCTCAATCGGAGATTGAATTTCTAGTAGCACAGGTACCGGGTGGTATAGCCAATATTCAAGATATTTATGGGTTAACACCATTACAAGAAGGCATCTTGTTTCATCATATGATGGCTGAGCATGGCGACTCGTACTTATCAGTTAATCGTCTACATTTTAGTAACCGAGAAGCAATTGAACGTTATGCAGCCGCTTTGCAACAAGTGATTAAACGACATGATATTTTGCGTACCGCCTTCATCTGGGAAGGACTCAGTGAACCGGTTCAAATCGTTTTGCGTCAGGTTCCTTCAATACTCACAGAAGTCACACTCAATGAAAGCAATGAGCGGGCTCTAGAACAATTAAGTAACCGATTTAATCCATGTCACTACAAACTAGATCTGTCCCAAGCACCATTGCTGCGTGTGTTTGCGGCTCAAACGTCTGAAGAGAATTGGGTGGCGGTGATTCTCTTGCACCATTTAATCAGTGACCACACAACACTAGAAACACTGAATTTAGAAATGCAGGCCATCATCGGTGGACAGAGTGATAAGTTGACAACACCCACACCATTCCGCAAATTAGTGGCTCAAGCTCGACTACGAGTCAGCCAAGCCGAATACACTAAGTTCTTTGAAGAAATGCTTGCTGACGTTGATACACCAACCCTACCGTTTGGTCTGATCGACATTCATGGCGACCGGACTACGATCGATGAAACACATCTGAAGCTACCACAGGAGCTTAATAATCAGTTACGGGAGCATGCACGTCATTTACATGTTAGCTTGGCCAGCCTTTGCCATTTGGCTTGGGCACAAGTACTTGCCAAATCCAGTGGACACAATACAGTTGTCTTCGGCACCGTACTATTCGGTCGTTTACATTCCGGAGGGAATGACAACACAATGGGACTTTTGGTAAACACGCTACCAATTAGGCTGGATATGGGTGATAGAACAGTAGAGAGCGCCGTGCGTCATACTCACTCACGTTTGAGTGCATTGCTAGAACATGAACATGCATCGCTTCCAATGGCACAACGTTGTAGCGGTGTGTCAACAACATTGCCACTTTTCAATGCACTATTAAATTATCGTCATAATCAGCCCAGCTGGAAGGTCACTACGTCGATGCATGGGGTCACTTTTCTGGGCGCCGAGGACCGAACAAATTATCCAATAACGTTGTCAGTTGATGACGACAGCGATTCGCTGGTTTTAACCGCTCAAGTCTTGTCGCCGATATTATCGGTACGAATTTGTGGTTATATGCAACAGGTCCTTTTCTCACTTGCTGATGCATTAACAAACGCACCAGAGAAATCGGTGCGGTCATTAACAGTGATGCCACATGAAGAACGTAGGTTGTTGTTGCATAGTTGGAACCAAACGACAGTCAATTATCCATCTGTTCGTTGCCTTCACGAGTTATTTGAAGAGCAAGTAGTGCGCAACAGACATATAATTGCCGTACAGTGCAAGGGGGAAACTTTGAGTTATGGTGAACTCAATGCTCAAGCAAATAGATTGGCACATTATATGATTAGGCTAGGCGTCAAACCTGATGATCGAATTGCAATTTGCGTTAAGCGTAACACGAAAATGATTGCTGCCCTTCTCGGTATTCTTAAAGCCGGTGCTTCCAATGTACCGCTCGATGTGGCCTACTCCAGTCAACGGCTAACGAATATTTTGAATGATGTCAATCCAATGTGTGTATTAGCAGATAGCACTGGTCAGAAAGCACTTGGTGTCCATCAGGTGCCAGTGCTAGACTTGGATAAAGTATTTCTTGATGGCCTTTCGGTCGAAAATCCGGATTCGATCAAACTGGGGCTCACTTTTTCTCATTTAGCGTATGTGTTATATACATCCGGTTCGACTGGAACACCGAAAGGTGTGATGATTGAACATAGGAATATAACAAATCTCCTTTACTGGAGTAAGGAAGCGTTCACAACCGAAGATTTAGAACATACCCTGTTTTCAACATCTATTGCTTTTGATGTATCCATTTTTGAATGTTTTGCGCCATTATCAATGGGAAAGACGTTACAAATCGTCGAAGATGCACTCGCGATCACACAAATACCGTCAAATATATCCCTATTTAATACAGTGCCTTCTGCAATGACGGCTATATTAAATGCTGGCACTTTACCATCTTCGCTTCGTAACCTAAATTTGGCAGGAGAACCACTAAACGTTCGATTAATCAACCGCATTTTCAGCCATACGGGAATCGATAAACTATGTAATATCTATGGACCAACGGAAACGACTTATACAACTTGGCATAAATATGAACGCAGCAATGTTATAATTGAAACGATAGGTCGTCCCATTGCCAATACCCGCATTTATGTGCTGGATTTACATGGTGATCCGGTGCCGTTGGGAGCCGTAGGAGAACTATATATTGGAGGTGCTGGTGTAGCTCGTGGCTATCTCAATCAACCCGAACTTTCAGCTGAACGATTTCTTCCCGATCCATTCAGTGAAAATCCATTGGAACGCATGTACCGAACCGGTGATCGTGCCCGTTATATGCCTGACGGTAATTTAGTCTATATGGGACGCACTGATCAACAGGTTAAAATCCGTGGTTTTCGAATAGAGCCCAGCGAAATTGAGACCCATTTAGAGGAACATCCTTTCGTACGCGAAGCGGTTGTACAGCCGTGGAAGGCCGGGCCCGATAGTGATTCCCTTCTTGTTGCCTATGTAGTTGCCGATCCAGTTGCATCACTCGCTAGCAATCTGCGTACATATTTGGCATCTCTATTGCCTGATTATATGGTGCCGGCGGCATATGTGTGTCTATCATCATTACCACTCACACCAAATGGCAAGCTAGACCGACGTGCACTTCCAGCACCGGAAGATGGAGCATTTGCTCGTCAACTATATGAAGAACCGCAAGGCGAAATTGAAGAAAAACTAGCCGCAATCTGGAGTGAACTGTTGAGTATTCAGCGCATTAGTCGACATGACAATTTCTTTGTATTGGGCGGGCATTCATTGATGGTGATGAAATTTTCCAACCTGGCAAAAAAGCACTATGATATACACATTGATGCACGTGGTTTGTTTGCCTTCCCAATACTCAAAGACTTGGCAGAGAGAATAACTAACTCTCCTAACAAACTGTATTGTGATGGAGCTATTCAAGTTCGTCATCTTGGAGATCAGATACCCATATTTTTCTTACCAGATGGTTATGGAGACATTTCTTATGCTTTTGAACTAGCACACGAGATTGATAAAAGTGTTCCTGTTTATGTGTTACCGTGGTCGTCACCAGACAAAGAGCAGCCATCATCCCTTGAAGAAATGGCCAATACAATGATTCCGCTAATAAAGAGAGTACAGCCGAATGGCCCTTGCGCTATAGTTGGTTACTCCTCTGGAGGTATTCTTGCCTATGAAATAGCAAATCAACTTATAAACAGTGGCTATCCTGTTTCATTTACGGGTTTAATTGATACGTATCCCCCCTACGCATATATTCCGTACAATGAAACCGAGTTGTTTTTGAGCTTTATCGTACTGAAATCTCCATTTTTCAAATCATTGAATGATACAGAGTGGTGGGATCATCTCTTTAAATTGTCTCTGAATGAAGCTATCGAAGAAGTTAAACAAAAGAATTTTGATTTGAAAAATGATGATATCAAATGGGAAGCATTGTTATGTAAACAACGAATTCACTACAAAACTATATGCCAACCCCCCCTGATGTCAAACAATGAAAAAAGATTCATAACATACAACACCATCTCTTGGTATGCCACATATCTGTTTTTTTTCTCCACAATGTGGAGAAAGTGTTTACGTATACGTATACGTTGACATTAATAATCTGTCAAAACCGTAAACACATTATTTTCATAACGCAATTTTGCGATAGTTCCTATTAGTTGAAAAAAATTAAATTTTTGTGTGCAAACTGTAAGTTATTTTGTGATTTTATTGTGTTTAGATTGAATACGATTTCATAAATTTTTGAAAAGTGATTTTACAGTAACAAGAAATGTAAAGCAGAGAGAAAAAAACCAATAAATGAGTTTAGAACGTTTAGAATCATATGCACATTTTCGTGATATTCTAACCTCAATCGCTCTTTACTCTCAGTTTTACATTCTTTATATCAACAATTATTTTATAATTTAAACAGGAAACGCAAAATGGTTTAGTGCGATGTATGCCAGCAGAATATTTCGGGAAACATTTACAAGCACAAAAGAGTTGAGCACAGTTGGGATCGAGGTGGTATTAAATTGATTAAACAGGAAGATAAAACTCTGATCGAAGCTATACAAAACGAAAAAACATTCGTTGGACCTTCGCTGTTATATTTGAAACGTCTCGCAAATTATGCGGTAACACAAAATTTTCAAGCCACATTTTTTGGAGTCGACTCACCAAAACCAGAACTTGTCATTACAACGGGTACAATTGCAGAGAATGAAAGAAATTTGGCTGAAATTGTGGATCAACTCTATGGCCAAATCGGTCAATGAACTACGATCGCTATTCAATATTTAGTTTATGAATATGTTCATTTTTTCACGCAAAATGCGACCAATTACATTTATAATTAAATACCATGAATAAATATTAATTTTTTATGTAAAAAATGGAAACAAATCTCTTTTCATTTGTTCGCTTTCAAGCGGGTTGAAATATTCATTGAATTCACAATTTTTTATATTTTTACAAGCATGGATTGTGAAGAACGCCAAATATATGAGAACCATAAATAAATCCAAATGAATAAATTGAAATTCAGCAGTGTTTTAGTAGTATAGTGTTTTTATTTTTGTTTGATATCAATATGTAGCTAAGAGACATTTTCCAATCATTTATATTTATTTAATTAAACATAAAAGTAAGTAATTTACGCATATTTTGCGAGAGAACTAATGCTCAGGTGTATCAACATCAGACATCTCCGGGATTGTATTTTCATTCTCTGCAATTGTACCCGTTGTAATGACAAGTTCTGGTTTTGGTGAGTCGACTCCAAAAAATGTGGCTTGAAAATTTTGTGTTACCGCATAATTTGCGAGACGTTTCAAATATAACAGCGAAGGTCCAACGAATGTTTTTTCGTTTTGTATAGCTTCGATCAGAGTTTTATCTTCCTGTTTAATCAATTTAATACCACCTCGATCCCAACTGTGCTCAACTCTTTTGTGCTTGTAAATGTTTCCCGAAATATTCTGCTGGCATACATCGCACTAAACCATTTTGCGTTTCCTGTTTAAATTATAAAATAATTGTTGATATAAAGAATGTAAAACTGAGAGTAAAGAGCGATTGAGGTTAGAATATCACGAAAATGTGCATATGATTCTAAACGTTCTAAACTCATTTATTGGTTTTTTTCTCTCTGCTTTACATTTCTTGTTACTGTAAAATCACTTTTCAAAAATTTATGAAATCGTATTCAATCTAAACACAATAAAATCACAAAATAACTTACAGTTTGCACACAAAAATTTAATTTTTTTCAACTAATAGGAACTATCGCAAAATTGCGTTATGAAAATAATGTGTTTACGGTTTTGACAGATTATTAATGTCGACGTATACGTAACCACAGCTGTCATAATATATACGTAACTTCGTATTTTCACATTGTGGAGAATTTTTTCTGTTTCATTAATAATGAATCATTATTTTCTGTAATAAATAGAAATTTATTTATTTATAATTCTAATAGAATGAATTTGAAAAAATAAATAGAATCATTTATATGAAATAAAAATAATTCTAATTTGAAATAATACGATTTTGTTAGGTTCCCATAGAATGGTGTGAGTATTTATAATTTAGTTGTATTATTTTATATGCTTTATGTGTGTGTACAATGATTTTTAATTGATTTAATTTCAATTTGATTTACTTGAATGATTTTTAATACAATTTTTGTGTTGAAACTATAACATTCAAATACATTCCAAATTATTGAAATAAATTTGATTTTTGCATCTAATTCACACTAAAATCAGATGGCGCTCATTAGCGAGATTCGCAAAAAAAAGTCTCCAATCTCATATACGTCAACCCCCCTTGCTATATGCAAAGTATACAATATAAATCCACTATCGACTACAGTAAACCTATTTAAGGCAACGGAATTTGGCCGGCCACTTATTGGTAATGATTACTTGGATAAATTAATTACAAAATATAATGATGACATTTTTAATCGTCCAAAAAGTGGATGGGATATTTACAATCTTCCAAGCTTGCACGTCATTCCTGTAAATGGAACTCATTGGACAATAATTACAAATCCGACGAATCGAATCTTATTGGGAAGAATGATAACTCAGTCACTTCTGACATCTTTATAAACTGAAATTTCCAGAAGGAAAACATCTTTGAAATCTAATTCTTAATCTTAATTAATTCTAAAAAGATCACAAAATGAAATATATATTGTGAAAATATTTTGTTCGAGAGAGAAATAAATAATATGCATATGTAATTTGTGTTCGGTTTAACTTATTTTACATGAGTGTTGTTCTTCTCTTAAAACTAATTCGACCATCTCTTAACTTGTGAGTCGGCATGTGACTACTGTACTATAACGCGTTTAACATTTAATATTTTGAAGGGTAGCTCTGCTCCTCAGTGTTCTTCAATGTGAGCGCTCCTACTCACATTCTGACCAACAATTCATAATTATGTCATCAATCATCTTCTTGCTTTCAATTGATTTACTGACAAACATGAAATGTAAAACGTTTCTTGTTAAAATGAAAACTGATCTAAAATGCTAAAATCACTTATAGCTTTATATTTTCGGGTGTTCTTGTGGACCTGTAGAAAATGGGCATTAAATTAAAATGTGCTCAACTTTTGACTCTCTGTTTGATTACCATAAAAAATTCCAGTATTCGGAATATTTTTCAGTTCTATTTCGATAGACCATAAATAAATTTCGCCTATGAATGGAATAGTTAAACACAGCTATTCCATTTAAATCAATAAATATTGCTGCAGTGATGGGCACATTAGCTGGCTAATTTGCCACAAATGTATACACTGGCTAACGAATGTGTAGACCAGCACTAATACATACATATATACACTGAGTTGTATGTCACTCATAAACGTCAGTGAGAATCGTACGTAGTCACACAGATAGCTGGCTAACGATTGGCATACACCAGTTGTTGGTGTAAGCCAAGGCTAAGACAATGCTGGCTAACGAGAAACCATCACTGTATTGCTGTGATAAAGTTCGGTTGATACCCCATTTATCAAAGCAATCAATTCATACCGAATCTTTGATAGTATTCGAGCTTTAGTGGTCGTAAACAATTTAAGCTGATTTCCATTCAGCTCAATAAAATCATTCGAAATATTTTGGTGAATTGAATTAACAAAGGTTGGAATATTGAAAATTTGACGAAGTTTTGGCTCGGACATCCTTTGAAATGAATCATTTAGAATGCGGTGAATTCATTGGTTGAATTCTCTGCATTCCAACAATTGTGTATGATATGCAATTATTACTCATGTTACGTAATTAAATTCGTGTTCAATTTAATCTATGTAGCAAAGCTCTTATTCAGGTATTGGCGTTGAATTTAATACATGTGTTCGTGTATTTTGCGTTGGGGATGCGCTTCTTTTCATTTGTCCAATTCACTGCAAACATTTCATCGGTTTTCCATTCACGACATTTACACACATTCACAAACAATCATTTTATTACATTGGCCAATGGAAAATTGCTGGCTATAAATTCTTGGACAAAACTCTCGTGCAATTTTGTCAATTCGAAATGAATTTCGATTGTGAGCGTCATCGGTGCGAGAAAACAGTTATGTTTTAATCGATTTGCATTTGGGAGTTTACTTTCATGCTCAATTTTGTGATTGCATCAGTTATTCCGGTAGCAGCTTTTTTTCTTTGTGTACCCTTTCTCTATTTTTTTTCTTCTTTACAATCTTTCTTTGATCGGCGAGAAAAGAAAGCGAAAAAAAATGTAAACATTGTATCGTTTTATATTATCAAGAATATGCTGTTATATAGTAAATTGCCAAGTAAAGTGAAGTCTTAAGCATATTTCCATTTGGTTAAACGATTCAAATTGTTCGAATACCTGGAATGCATTTCTAATTTCAATAGTGTAAATGCTTTTATTTTTTTGCCGGTTCGAATGTTATTCATCATATTTCAAGAGACGGAATGTGGCACGGAAACGACAACACTTCCAACAAAAATACGGAGTGAAAAAAAATCTATTTTAAAAACTGCGAAGTGATTGCAATGAATGCTCATTTTATCGTGAAATCGATAACGAGTGCTTCAAACAAAGTTTTATTCATTGCACACAATTACCCGGGCTTCCGATATACGATAACGATCAGGTTTGCTTTTGCAACGCTTTTCTATTCCATTCTCTCTCTCTCTGCGTGAATTTTTCCTGTTTTCTTTTCGCTCATTTTTAAACACGAAATATTTACGATCATCGGTGAGGTGTCGTCGACGGTGCGGGAATGTTGTCGTTATCGTCGATATTGTGTAAATGGTTAAACGTCTGTAAAACCGAACAGGAACCGCAACATGCAAAAATAAATCGATGATATAAACGCGATTGCGAACAATACGAACATTGTGTCTATGCATCTCGTTGTGATTTTCACTCTCTCTCTCCTCTCCCTTTCGCTCTCACTCTCTCTCTCTCGTTCTCTCTGAAACCCATCGATAACAATGCCACAACATCCCGACAAATTAAATTCAAACTATTTATGTTGCAGGAACATTCTGAAACTGATTTAGATGCCTCCGGTTTTTCTGGTTGTTGCTTTTTTTCACGCTTTATATGACAATCGTAGTTCGAGTATGCTTACTAATCATCAAAAGCCTCGCGTAATTGGATTGACGTTGCGTGTGAACATTTCCATTTCCGATTGACAGCATGTAATTTATACAATAACATCGAAAATTGATGGATATATGAAATAGCGTTTTTTTACCTCTTGTTACGTTGCGGTGTGCGCATGGAAACATAAACTCATCGCTTCATTGGGCTAGTGATATTTTGTTGCATACAATTTCAGTGTCATAACCGGAACATTTTTTTTTTACCGCACATACTAAAATTATATCGATATCGCATGGCGGAACTCTTTAACACAAAATAAACGCCACCGGTAATGTTTTATATCTTTCTTCATACACAAGCAGTGTGTAGCAATAATATTATTTGTTTGATGTCAACAGTGGGTTAAATTGTTCTCTGTTAAAATGTTCAATCAACTTGACATGCGGAACAACTGCATGACATAAACATAGGGTTTTGACTTTGCCGTTACGTTTTTACTAGTTTGATGGCATTTTGATTGATTTAAATGCAAGCTGCAGGAACGACACAATCCTAGCGAACAACATCATCAACATAAGGAGTGCCAATGTACTGTGTTAATGCACTCGGTTTCCGATTGACTGTGTCGAACACTATTAATAATAAGAAATAAGCAATATCCATATGCCGTCATTTTGACAGATTTGAAAAGTAGAACTCAGATCTCAAAATGAACAGTTGTTAATATTTAAAATGTGACTTTATTGGAAAAAAAGTACAAGCTTATCGAAAATATTCAAATCGATTGTAGGAGCTTGTTATATAACGAAATTCTTTGAAATATTCCATTGACTTTTTACTTTACAAACCGTAAACTGCGGTAACTGGTAGTTTTTGCATTTTTACAATCTGGCCATAAATCGGAACAACTTTTAATCTAAAAGCTTTTCAGAAAATCTCGTTTTTGCTGATTTTTTGCATGCGCAGAAATTTACAGAACAACGGGAAATCCACGTCTTCTGATGAATTTCCGGCAATAATTCATCGAAATATACTCTGTACATAATTTTTTAAAAAGCCTGAAATGGACGTTTTCAATGTAAAAAAAACTCTATTTCAACGATTTAGTTCAATTTTAATGGAAAATCTCGACGCTTCGCTTAATGAGTTCTACATGAAACCTTTACAGATCTCAATTTTAATGCGATGCCTTTTTTCATAATAATAAAGAAATGATAAGGGTACACAAATAGTGTAATTATAGTCATTGAAACGACGGACGAGAGATGATGAAAAAAACGAAAATTACGAATTCGTTTAATACACAGCAAAAAAAGTATGAAAGTAATTTTACCTGTTGACATTTTTTTTTCCTTTTTCAATAAGTCAAAGCAACTCTCTTTCACTGATTCCATTCAAATGTTTGCTTTGTCCATAGAATCAGTCCTTATTTTCAGTGTTTACAACTGAAAAGATCTTGATGAGAATTGCCGAGAACAAACTGTGCTTGCTCTGATAGGTTCATGTCATTTTTTTTTCGTTTGTTTGATATACGTTTCAACATTTCTCAATTCAAATATAATTTTTTGCCATCTCGCATTTTTATATTTTAAAATTTTTTGACATAATTTAAACTTTAATTACGGATCTTCTATCACTGTATGAATAGTTGTCCTTTTTCACTTAGATTCAATTGAGTTCTGCTTTTTTTGTTCCGTTTCACTTTCGAATTTTTTTGATGGAATTGGTGTCCTCGGGCTCAGTTAATATCACAATTTTATGGCCATCATTTGTTAAAGAAATGGCTAATCGAATCAATATTCCATTCGCATGTTTTCATTTTGTTTCATCCAATTTTCTTCAATATGCACTACGTAATCCATATGCCACGCAATGCTGTTTAACCGTATCGAATATATTGTCATGTATAAAAAATGTGGAAATGGTCTTTGATATGAACACACTACACAATGGGACCGTATTACAACCGATTATCCACAAGAAGGGCTATAAAGTGGTTGTCGTTTTATTCTAGATTTTTTTTTATATTCAATCACGTTGAACAGAAGCACAAAAAAACCGAATGAGAGAGAGAGAGAGAGAGAGAGAGAGAGAAACAATCAACATCATTGCATTCACTGAAAATAGCAGTAGCATTTTGGCCAGAGACCCAGTAACAACAACACAAAAAACCAATTTGTAATAA